GTCATCTCTACCCATAACTCTTTGCTAAAGAATCAATATGGCGGACTACATAAATTGATGAAAAGTTGAATATCTAGAGAATGAAAAGTGATATAAAAAAAATGTGAATTGCATTCTCCTACATTTGCCGAGTTCTTTTATCTGGGAGTAATATGTGGTTATCCTTGACTCTTGCTTTAAAACACTGATTCAGTCATAGTGTGGGGGCAATAGAATCATCACGTGACATGGGTAGTGCACGTGACCAGTCATATGACGTAACTAGAGGGGGCTGAATACTTACCTTCGATATCGCAAAGTTGTCGTTTTTGCATAATGCACATTTTATATTATCCGTGATGTTTATTACTGTGGAAATTCGATTTCACCCTTCAAAATGAATATATTGTAAATAAAATGCCATAGAGGCAATTAATCAAAGTGATCAAAATAATAATTCTCCAGACCGGAAGTGTCCTGAAATGTGGTGTCGCTGTGTATTCTGCCCAATCAACAAACTAGTTTAACTAGTCAAATTAGTTTACCTTTATTAATAAGTATATTTAGAATCGTATCCCGGTTTCTGTTAATTCCGAAGTGGTTCTCAGCGGATGTTCTACAGCTAGCCTCGCTCTCGATACAAGTAGGCAGAGAGAACTCGGAATATACAAACTTTTCAAAGTCACATTTACTCCACCCTATGAAAGAAACGTATTGTTTTTAGTTTGTAATATATGTAATACAGGTGTAATGCACATGAATCTGACTGCAAACAGTATTTGAATAAAACACTTTCTGATTCATTTGAACATCGTTTCACAATTAACTCTACGATAGAAATTTGTTGACGATTCAAGGAAGGCGGAATTTGATTAAAGGGCGGTAGTCGTCACGCCACGCATGCGTGAGATATATGGGTCTCATATAAACAAAGATGGCAACTTTGGCTGTTGTGCAGATCAACGGGTACAAACTGGGACGTTACCAAGCTTTAATTAGGTAATTTTAGGTGATTGGAAGGTATCGAAGGAGTCACCGGTGGTAATCAGTGCAAGTCACGCCAAGGTCAAACCTCATACTTGTGATTTCCATTAGAAGAACGCATTGGATTGTGGAAAAATCAATGTTATCAACACAAATGTCGCACATGCGCAGCGCGACGACTACCGTACAGAATTACTAACCGTTTATAACTTTCTTATTTTCATTGCAGTAATTGTCAATCTTCAATGTGTCAAGACAAACACCTAATAATAAATATGGATTATAAGTATACACAATGTTTTCAGTTAGACAGAATTGTTTCTGTCCAATTATCTAATTGGTGTCGTAATGAATACGTCATATTTTCCAATTCCATCAGATTCAAGTAGTATATTTGTCGCTGTGTTGCTATTATCCTGGATTGTGAATATAACTCATTGTTTCCCTTGGAAAATCGTGAAATTAAAAAACAGATAATATGCCCGGCAGACCAAAATAGTGACATTAAATGCAAGTGAAAATAAATGGTTTTGCAGATAGTACAATATCAAATTTTCCATCAAAATATTGATTATCTGCGATTGAAACAAGAAAACATTTTGATGGGTGCATCGTCGTAAATTTCCCATCTAATTTAATCCATATTCTATGCTTTGAGTCGCAGTCACTTTGTGGTTCCTAATGATGATGGTGCGTATAGAATTACAGTCGCTTTTGTGGCACCAAGGAGTATGTCTAGAGTCACAGCCACTCATGCGTATAGAGCAGTGGGAATACACTGCGGTTAAGAATAGTAGAGTGTGGCAAAATAATGGCTGCCATGCAAATAGTTTGTAGTATTATCTCTGCAAAGATTCCACTTACCCAAACCAATCACGTTTACGTCTAGTTCCGTTGCCATGGCAATTGCTTTCTTCAGGCTATTCTTCCAAGATTCAAAACGATCCCACTTAATTGAATTATCGGCTAATCTATGGATGATCTCACCCTGAGAAAAACAATGGCAAATGGTTACTTTGTTTTTATGCCACAATATATGAAGTCAGAATCCACTTAGATATTTGATTAAAGATAAGGTACTGTAATTCTGTTTCGTCACCTTATTGTTCACCAAAGCCATTTTGGTCACAGCACCCTCTAGTGCTACAGTAACCACACACAGTCCGTCCTCCATGACGTTGTCAACGTGTTGACTTTTCTTAGTTGTTAGTGCAGGGAACGTGTATGTCTTCTGTATCCTCTCGGTAATGTCGATGCCTCTCATGAAATCCAGTATACGTCGTACTGAGTTACCATCGCCGTATAAAAATGATCTTCAATACAATCATACATGATATGTCTCTGTTATTTAGAGCTTAAATGCTCAGGGTTATTATATCATCTTTTTTGACAAGCCCAGGATCACGTGACACGTACTGTTTGAACCGAATTATTTGTCATTATTTTCATGCTTTCATCAATATATTACCGGAAATAAAAAAGGGAAATTTGGGTCACTGGACAATTTGCACATGCGCTTTCAATTAATAATACGTACCAGTGATTCGAAGAGCATTCGCCGTTACGTAAGATTTTGTATCATATGGAATGAACTATAAGGTAATTATTTCATCTCGTATTTCGATATTATATATTCTAAATATAATAATAGTATGCAACTGTAGAATAATATCAAACAAGACTTTGCCAAACCTTGGGTATTCTTTCTGATACTGGAGCTCCAATGCTTGTAATATGGTATGTTTAGAGTCAGCGTCTGGACAGGCGAACACGTTCTCTCCACTCTCTCTCCCGGTTTGACGGGAACCAAGACTTACAACAGGAGTACCGAATGCGCATGTCTCTCGGACAACGCAACTACTGTTGCCAATCAGACAGCCACAGTTTGCCATAAGTACGATGAACTCTTCGAATGGGATATGTTTGGCAGTGACGAAATTTTCACCCATTTCTATCTTCTTTTCTCGTATAATTCTAGTCATATCTTTGCTACCTGGTAGTACAGAAAGAATAAATCTGTGTGAATCACATATGATGACATGTTTGAGTTGAGACATATGGGTTTGCATGCGTTGATAGAGGGCGCAATTTACACATTTCATTATGCTTTTACGTCTGTCCAATCACAGAATTTCAAATCAGTTTAAGAAGGGTTTAACCGTGGTTCATGGTTCACTGTAGACTGGCGCAGTCAGGGCAATTAATTTGTTTTTGTAGTTTGAATAAAATATAAAAAATCGCGCAATGGAGGTGTTAGCGCGAAATCACCCCGGCTGGTTTATTCTGCAGGAAATTCATTGCTATTAAATATCCAGGATTGCACATATTATAATGAGGTTGGCGCGGAAATGCGAGCATAATGAGGTCAACATGGTAAAGGTCACACTGTCGACGTTTCTCGGTCAGAGGTCAGTTGAAGAGACGTTGTGATTGGCTTAGATGACTGTCAAATAGAACACTCATTTACATAATTACCCATTGAGAAATCGAAGCGTTCCTGCAGTGTCGATAGAGGGCCATGCGGAATAAACCAGTCGGGATGATTTCACAGT